TGGGCTCATCCAGCCTTTTGTTTTCATTTTTGAAGTGCCCGCCAAAGACCATGCTAGAACTACTATCAAAAGTCCAAAAATACATGAACGTTAAGGATGTCATCAAAACCAGACGAGATGAGTCCTCACGTAGAGGGGAGTACGAAAAATAGAAACCACCAACCACTAGCTAGTCGCACAACACCAATGCCCAACTAGGTGCCAGTAGCCAACACCCTGCTAGGTCCCAGTAGCCAACACCCCGCTAGGTTGCAGTAGCCAACGCCCGGCATCAAAGGCACCCAACGTCCAAGCACCCATGCCCCTAATGCCTAGCCAATGGCGCCCAACGACACCCGACATTAGGCCTCATCGCCCTTGGCGTTTGTTTCCTCGCCCGCCTGGTGGCACCACCTACATCACATGACTAGCTCGTACAGCAGCACCTCTGGCACCCAATGTCACCCTTCTTGGAGCATATAGCGTCGTCGCCTGACGCCTATGCTTCACTAGCTCTGTCTCGCCAGCGCCCTCTAGCTTAACAACTTTCTTGAAAGTCGTCAGAAGCTCGGTCTAACTCTGTCTCTTTTCTCACACAAGCAGCCTCAGTCTCTAGCTTAGCGGATCTCATGTCACCAGAAGTTTGGTCAAACTCGGCCTCTACTTTCACATGAATAGCCTTAGTTTCCACTTTAATAACTCTCTCACGAGTCACCAAAGGCTCAGCCTAACTCTACCTTTACTCTCACGTAAACAGCCTCAGTTTCCAGCTCAGCAGCTCTCGCGCAAGTCACAAGAAGCCTGGCCTAACTCTACCTCTACTCTAACACAAGCAACCTTAATCTCCAACTTAGCAGCTCTCTCGCGAGTCTGCAGAAGCTTGGTCTAACTTTGCCTATACTTTCAAACAAACAGCCTCAGTCTCCAGCTTATAGGCTCTCTTGAGAATGGCCAGAAGTTCGGCCTCTCTCTACCTTTGCTCTGACGCAAGTAGTCTTAGTCTCCAACGTAGCGACTTTCTAGCGAGTCTTTAGAAACTTGGCCTAACTCTGTCTCTGCTCTCATGCGAGCAGCTTCAATCTCCAACTTAGTGGCTCTCTCACAAGTCGTCAAAAGCTCAGCCTAACTCTGTCTCTGCTCTCACACAAGTAGCATCGATCTCTAGAAACTCGGCCTCAGGAAGTGTAGCTTTCTCGTGAGCCATCCACAACTCCTCTCTACAACCCCACTGTATCTACCTCTTCCTCATCAAAGTTCAGCTGCTAAAAGAGTATAAGGACAAGATTTCTTACTGATGCCCTCTCCACCAAATATCATTGGGCTCGGGACATGGGGGCAAATAATGGGCCTGACCTAGACTAGCTCTAGACTATAAACGAGACTCAGTTTAGAGGCCCAGTTTAGGAATACAGGTCAGGCTCACTGCAAGAATGAGGAAATTAGGTCAACTGTGCCATCTTGAGAAAAAATCAAGTCAACTGCCTCATGGTGAGAGACTTAGTCCATAACTGACAGGCAAAGAGGTCTCCTTGGGACGTGCACATCACCACCTCTACGGAATTATCTCACCTGTTACGAGAAGGATGCCACCTTCACAAAACTACCTCACCTAATATGAGAAATGCGCATCAATTTGTTGGGAATCCCATAAGCCCCACCTACACAATGGGGGCATCTTACATATCACTCACTCTTGAGCACCTTATACTCCTTAAAATAATAAAATACCCAAGTCATTTGAGCCCTTCACGGTGGAGTAGGTCACCTTGACCGAAACTTAAATTATGTTTTACTTGTTTTGACTCTCATTATTTATTACTACATTAAATACTTGACATGTGATGCATAAATACACTTTTGTGCATAATCAAACTTATCTATACTCTTTGTGCCCACAATCTAACTCTTAACTGGCCTATCAATAGATCGAATTTTAATCTGAATGTGAATTTGATTAGTCGGATATTAATTAATATTTTTTATCAATAGTTTGAATTCGTAATCAAATCTGTTATCTTATATTTCACATATTTGGATTTGGATATATCTATATCTAATCTGATTCTGATTCGATCTGAATTATTTATGTATATATTTTTATAAATATTAAAAAAATTAAATAATTATTTAAACAAATTTTTGTTTATTAAATTTTATGGATTGGATCAGATTTTTGAATCGGAATCAATTTGTTTAAGGATTCAGATGTGGATAATGAAACTAAAATTTGTCGGATTATTAGATTTGATTCGGATCAAATTTTAAAATTCAAATCAATCAAAATCTGATTCAAACATAATCCGTTAATAAGGCGTACTACTCTTAACGAGTTTATTGAGTTGGGGGTTTAATTTGGACATCTTATAGTAGGCCAGAAAACTCTTAACATGGTTCACTGATTATTACAGAAACAAAGCGACACAAAACACGAAATTAGGCCAATTATTCACGTCACACATTAATGATACAGGATTATACATAAATCACAAATAGATTGAATAATTTTTGATACATCACGACTTGGATATGACCGGAAGCCGTCATGAAAAAATTTCTTAATTGCCAGGCCTACACTAAAGTTTGAGAAAAGAAAAGCACCTCCAGATACAACTAAGGTCTGGTGGAAGTGGTTATAAGTTGATAATAAGCTAAAAAATGATCCTATGATTCTGTTTTGTGCTCTTTCATTGTATGTTGACTCTCTCTTTGTGATTATTCATGTTTTAGGTTTTCTAGTGTAACTGTATAGCAGATTCAGATGATTCTTCCACAAGTATTATTCATTCTACTGGGGATGGGTTTTTGGTCCCACTTAAGCAGCATGGTGCTGTCCTTTTTCCACTCAAAGGATTTTGATCTAGAGAGTGTTTTTTTTTATTTTATTCAACAATCGGAAATGTTCAGATCAACCTATACGCACTTCTACTAATCTCCTCCCCTATTCGGTTAAAGGCAAGTGATTCACGCCTGGACTAAGGTGTTCATGCAGGATAAATCTTTTATAGTCTGACTATAATAAGTTATTAAGATTCGAACTTGGGACATGATCTAAAAAGTTTTGCCTCAAGAAATTCAAATAAAAATGCACACACATAGGGTCCATCATATAGAGGATTAACAAAAATAATTTGTCTAGTTTAAAATATTGTTAAACAAGTCAAGTCGTTCGAGCTTAATTTGAACTTGGACTGGTTTTATCTCATTCATATACTTCTTCATGTTGAAATATGAACATAATGTAATCATATTTCTAAGCTCATTTTGGATTTGTCCAAATCAAAGCTCATATTCGAGCTTGTAATACACAAATACGTATACTATTGTGCCAAACTTTTGTTTCTAAAATGCATATAGATCGATATTACATTATAGTAGAATTCAAATCGAACTTGGGCATATGATTTAGAAATCCAGCATCTAGTGACGTAAATGCTTGTTACCTCCCACATTAATCCATCGTCACGCTTAACAAGATGATAACATAAACCATAAACAATATTAATAAGTTAATGTATTGCTTGAATCATCTTGCTCTCATTTGAAAGATATACTATTGTGCCTGTTCCTGCGGGCCTTTTTGTTTATGTTACCCGAAAAATGGTGGTACCATTAAATATTATTCAAAGTTTTTGAGCATAGTTTAGATAAGAATCATTTGACTTTTTCTCATAAACAAGTTGTTTATGAAGATAAAGTGAGGTAGAGGGAGAGAAATTAAGTACACTTGAATGAGATGTATAAGACGTCAGAAGTTGAGATCGCTATCAAATAATATTCAAATCTACAAATAATTGAACAGACAATTTGACGTTTTCATAGAACTTTCTCCTTCATTGACGCAAAAAAACCATGTGAACATGTTCAAATGGGCTCTTTTATTGAAAAGAGATCTAGTTGTTTAGGTTCAAATTCAGCAACTATTTTATTACGGCACTCGTTGTACAGGTATGTGGTTAAGTATCTTGAAAGCTTCAATCATGTAATACTCAAATAACTTTTAGAAAATCTAAATTCTAGTTTTATTCCCATGTAATAGCTTCCCTTTTTCCTCAAAACTGCCTAGCTAGAGGGTTTTTTTTTGGCTCAAAATGTTTTGAGTAAAATGTTTGGTTCTCCCTCAATTTGAGTAAAAAAAATGAGTTTTTTCTTGTTTTGCTATAAGTTTGAGTCAAAGATTAAAGAGGGTTTTTTGGATTTTTTTAACCCAAATTTAAGCTTTAGTTTAGTTTTCTGTAAGGAGTGAAGATGGTCTTACTATGAAGAATTAAAATAAAAAGATTATAGACACATTGGTGCTACTATTTATTAAACCACTTTCTTTCATGAGTCCAAACTTTTAATTAGGCAATTTTGAACAAATTTAGAATATTATGGGAAGAGTAATGTTGTTGCAACTTAAAAAATTGACTTAATTTGATGGCATAATAATGTAACGGCTAAATTCTAGCGACATTTGAGATTGTTGATCATGTGCTTGATTTGGATAGAACTTTCATCCTCTCTTTGAATTTCTGATTAAATCTAGATTATCCAAATTCAACTACTTAGATGATTATAATTCTACTAATGGTACCAATACGGTAAATAATACAAATAATTCAAGTATTAAAACACGTAAAAATAGATTTTTTGGGGGGTTTTGTGTGTGTGTTGAGGTGGGGGGGGGGGGGGGGGGTTGTTAATACGAGGACAAAAACATGGAAAACAACAACCCTAAGATTGATAATCCACTTGAATGAACACCCCGTTGAATAGAAAAAAGAGGAACTCCCATAAAGCATTGGATTAGATGATTACAAAACAACGTTGGGATCCCTTTCACATTATATTATAGTAATTAATCTTTGGATTGTCTTCACATTTGCTTGCACGTCCTCTACACGTTACATTAGTATTTCCCATTTGTCAACATTAGCATCCTTATTAAAACACCACCCTCTCTTTCATCATTTCTTCTTCTTATCAAACTCTCTCTCTCTCTCTCTCTCTCTATGTGTGTGTGTGTGTGTGTGTGTACCACCATCAGCAATCATATTAGCTGTTCAGTTTGATTTGATCCATTAAAGCTTAGCGGGTGCCACCAAAACCCCTTAGCCATGGACGGTGGATTCAGCAACGCCAACCCATTTGTCAGTGATCAAGAAGATCTCGAAACTTCGCCGGAAAATAGTGGAGGAGGATCTCCACCTTCTGCCATATTCACCGACAGCAAGATGGCTTCTACCTCCTCCCCTAAGAGAAGGTCTGTACTATATGTATGCATATGAGTGTGTGTGTACATATCCGAGTAGTGCTATGCTTGGCTGGAGTTTGTGTCAGATTCCGATGAATTTTTTCATATAGATGATGAATTTTTTTTGGGTTTTATTTCCAAGTGCATGTGCATGCGGTTAACGTTGTTGAGATTTGTTTCAGTAGTAGACGAGGTGTACAGAAAAGAGTGGTGTCAGTGCCGATCAGAGACGTTGAAGGATCAAGGTATAAAGGCGAGACGAGTGCTCCACCGTCCGATTCTTGGGCTTGGAGGAAGTATGGACAGAAGCCCATCAAAGGCTCTCCTTACCCTAGGTAACCTCTATTCTCTATTAAAAAAAAAAAAAAAGAGCGAAAAAATTTCATATAATGTTGAGGATGGTTGGGTGGTTGAGCCTTGAAACATTAGTAAGATTGTTTCATTTTAATATGAGTATTATGGTTTGAGTTGAAAAAATAACTTCATCTTTATTTGATTTAAGCTCGCATCCATCTATTTCTCCACATATTCTTTAATGAGCGGACCATTAATTATTATTGGACTGTCTATTTTTTCAAGATTAAATGCAAAGTAGTACAAATTCCTAATTTAGACACAAAGGCAATGAAGATTAATACAATTCTATGATTTGGCAGGGGTTATTATAGATGCAGTAGCTCAAAGGGTTGTCCAGCAAGAAAACAAGTAGAGAGGAGTCGTTTGGATCCCACCATGTTTGTGGTGACATACTCTTGTGAGCACAACCACCCCTGGCCGACTCTGAGAAACAACAACCACCACCACCAAAATCAACCCATGACCGCCTCCACCGCGATTGAGGTTGCTACAATTATAAATCATGCACTTCCAAATTCTAAAGATGATCCTATGGTTTTAGGGAGCCAATCCGAGCCTAACCCTGATGAAAAATTTGCTAATCTTGACAAGGAATCCCTAATGACCGAGGCTGAGTTTGGATGGTTCTCTGATTTGCTATCACCAACTTCAACCATGCTTGATAGTCCAATTTTGTCCGAAGATAAAACTGCTTATACGGACATGACAATGATTTTTTCGATGAGAGAAGAAGATGAGTCATTGTTCGCGGATCTTGGCGAATTGCCCGAGTGCTCGATGGTGTTCCGAGGAGTGATGGAGAGGGAGGAGGAACGCCGGCGGTGCAGCTTAACACCGTGTTGTGGGACCACATGATGAGATCAATGGACACGCGTTACCTTGTGCTCTCTCTCCTCCATCTGTATTTTCAACGAGCATGATTTTCTTCTTCAACATATTGTGCTCTTTAAGGTAGAGAACAGACTATCATATTTTGTTTTACTTTTCAAATTTGCCAAGATTTCAGTGTACTGAGAACAAAATGTTTCTTGACTTTTCTTAATGTAGAGTCAGTGTTGCAAAGCTTGAAAAAAAAAAAAGAAATACATTTTCCAACCACCTATTCTTGATTATCAACAATGCCTCACCTTTGTGGATAACTCGAATAGAAAGGTTTTAATGGTGTTATAATTGGACATTGTAAGTTTGAGCCTCAATTACAATAAAATTAGCAGTATGGTTTTGGATCACTTACAAGAAGGGAGAGTACAACTTTTTTTTTTTTTTAAGTACAGAATTTTTAATCTTATATCGACTATTCTCTCGAGTTATGAATCAGCCACCATAAATCGAGCTAGTTTCAAAATATGTCCCTTGAAGATCAAGAGTGGCTAACTCTTAGAGATCGAGTTAGTTTAAGGATATGTCCCTTAAAGATCAAAGGTGGCTAACTCTTACAGGTGTGAAAAGTATCGAACTGAAGACCTTTTGTTTACAAGAAGACATAATTAACCACTGAAGCATCGTAAGGAATAGAGAAAATACAACCTTGTTTTGCCTAGCTTAACTCAAAATATTGAATTCACATCACTAGAACAGATTTAGTTAGGATGAATTACTCTTAGATCTAAGAATATTTTTTTTTTTGGCATTTGTGTATATCTGATATACTAGCAGCACAAATAATTTGAAAACAAATTGATTTGCTAGCGACTAATACAGGAGGCAAATTGGGTAAGTCTACAGTACCACAGAGGTCAGGGTGTCTAGGGTTGTGCTGACTATTCTCTCGTGTTCAGCTGCTGGCCACTGTGATTTGAACTGATCTAGAACATGTTTCAAAAGAGATAAGAATGATTAATTCTTAAATAATATGAGAAGAAATTAAATCTAAAATGTCTGAATTACAAAGAATAGGTTCTAACTTAATTTGGATTTTCCTGAAAAATAGATGTCCGAAAATGTTCTGCTTTTTTCGCTGGAACTAAAGAGCAATAGGAAAAGTCTTGTCCAACTGGTGTGTTTTCACGTTAGAAGGAACCAAAAAAAATGATTATTATACCGACAGAGGTACCACATAGAAACAAGGGCGGCTTATAGCGAAAATTTTATTTGAGTTGTTATTTAATATTTCAAGAAGATAATAATTTTTTTTAATTATTACTAAACATTTTACAGAGAAGTGTAATATGATTTATTTTCAATGTTTTAGTACTTTTAGAATTAGGCGGGATCAAATAATAAATTGAGTGTAATTATAAAGTCATGATCTTATAGATGAATAAATTACAAGAAATCTTAAGAAACAACAAGAAAGTTAAAAATAAGGACAAAGAACCAGATAAGACAATGAGAGTGTGAGAAAGAGAAAAAGTTGGAAATAAGTGGAGTGAAGGAAAAAATAGTGAAAAAAAAATTTGAAAGATATTACTACTTTTAAAGTTAGAAATCGTTATTTTTAGATTTTTTTAAAAAAATTTTTATATAATTTAGGACTATATATATATATATATATATATATATATATATATAAGGTTTTATATAGACCTGTGAAAATATTGTTACATTTTAAGATTTTTTATAAAGTTTGTAGATAGATTTTTAAAATACATTGAGCCTTTAACTTGATCTATTCAAAAGGGTCTCGGTCTAACCTAAGGGCTGAAAATTAAATCAAGGCCCTAGGAGACTATTTTAGTGGTCAAGTCTGCTATGTCTCCTCCCATTCAAATGATCGAAGTGTTTGTACATCTCATAATAATTGTAATTTCTGTTTGCACTTTATTATCGAGTCTTTGTCTATGAATCAGTCATGCATAGAAAGTTAACGCCTTAAAGATAAATTACAACCTTTTGACGGTCTATGTTAAAACTCAAAAAGTCATGATCAATCATAAAATGTGAACAATTCCTAAAATATAATTTTCAAAGTTAAGTTATATTCTATAGGTGAGTAAGGTTATTCATTATCAATCTATTAGAGATATGATAGGATAAAAAAGAATCCATTTAGGTAGAAATAAGATAGGATTCAAAGAAATGTATTGATATTTAGGATAGAGCCACAAGTAATCAATCACCTTTAATAATATATCAAGTATAGCCCATAGAGCATTAATTCCATGGATGTAAGCATAGTATGCCGAACCACGTTATTTTCTGTCTCATTTTTCTATCTATAATCTCTCTCATATTCCTACACGATCTTAAATGGTCAATAGTTGTAACTTGTCTTTTACAACGTTTAACTTAACGTTTAAGGTGCTAGGCATAATCTTCTAAAGTCTTGCTATAAACAATAATGGCATGGCATCCAATAAATACCCACCTTTTATGGGTCCTAGGGCGGAGCTACATGTTCTCTATTGTTTTTTTATTTATTATTATTTTTTTTTGGGGGGGGGGGGGGGGGGGGGGAGAAGGGGGGGGGGGGGGGGGTGGGGGGAAGTAATAACTACACTTACATACCTGTCAAAAAGTCATTGTACTAGTAAAATAATTCATTGACCCCTCCCTCAACTTTTAAAATATTTCTATAATGACAAATTTTTTAACAAGAACTGACCTACTAACTTTAGTAAAGCAGATATTTTTTTTTTTTGGTTAATTGTACTGGATGTCCTCAAAGTATGAGATTTATCTTATTTGGGTCCCCAATATTTCAATTGTATAATTTTGATCCCTGAAATATTAAATATGTTTTTATATGATCCTTCAAGTAGACAAAGTCCAGATTGCTAACGATTTTTTATCATAAACTTGTCACGTAATACTTAAATATAGACAAAAAATAATTTTGATAACTCTTAAACAAAATTTGGATTGCTCCCGACAAAAAATGTGTAATATGGCTTGCTTTTGACCAAAATTTGGATAGTTCATGACCAAAATTGTATAATTTGAGTAATTATTTAACCAAAATTTGAGTAAAAAATTTGGTCAAGAATTATCCAAATTATTTTTTTGTTCATATTTAAGTCTCACGTGACAATTTTGTGATAAAAAAATTGCTAATAATCTGGATGATATCTGTTTGAAAAATCATATAGAAACATATTCGATACTTTAGGGATCAAAATCATGCAATTGAAATATTAGAGACCAAAATAAGATAAATCCTATATTTTGGGGACCTTCAGTGCAATTGACTTATTTTTTTTTCGAATTGAGTATAAATGAATTATTTAATACATTATCCTAATTTTCTAGAAATAATTGCATAGCTCACGGGCCCATATCTAGTATTACATTTAGGAAAAGATATTCATTGCAAATGTGAAATCATGTCAATATTGTCGCGTAATATCACCGACTAATAATATACAGATAAATAAGAAAGTGAACCCTACACAAATCAATAACTACTCATCCATATAAACAGATAATTACTCACCTATCTTTTATATAGCCAACAATATTGATATCATATCATCGTTGAATTTAATATTCTCTCACTTAAAAAGAGTTTTCGATCATATGCTGTCCCCACATGATGCACGTGCTTGACATAGCGTCACATGTGGGGCCATACTAACGTCATTGGTGATCAACAACTCTTATTATCTTCCTCTACCTTATCCGTTAGGGCATTTGGTGCATTAGTTTATTTACAAGATTTTATAAGTCTACCCATTTATCGTCCGTATACAGAATTACAATGCTTCAGAGAGTGTCAGCATACATGGCCACTTGAACTGGTAAACCAAATCCATTAGACTTCTCAAACAAAAGAAAGAGACTGTTTCTTCTTTTCTTTTCATTCTCTCCTCCAATTCCTCTTTTCTTTTCTCTCCGAAACCCAAAAACATACTGCTAAGCTTACCAAGAAAACTAATACCCAAGCAGAAGGAGTGGGGAGAGAAACATTGCCAAGAAAGCCAAGGTCATAGCTCCTGCCTTCCAATCACCTAGAGGAGGACCAACCCACTAAAATAGTTGTTCACACACTGGTAATAAAAAATTTCAGTTCAATCAATCCAAACAACATGAAAAATGCAGAACTGAACCCGACACGAAGAATACAGAAATATTCACCCCATCAACCATTATTGCAGTTTCCTAGATATAGAAGCCAAACCACACCAGCACAGTATAATCAATAAAAAATGATGAATCAAATGGATTAATGAAGCAAACTACTAACAGGTTCTAAAAATGCATTTCAATCAACAAGTTCCTGCAAGTTTGTGCCTAATCTAGGATCTAAAAGAAGGTAATGGAGGTAAAACCATCTGTCTAATCAAGCTCAATGTGTTATAGAGAAAAAAAAAATTAATAATAGAGAAAAAAAAAAAAAAAAAGCAATTGTAAACCATCTCCTAATGCCAGGGTCTTCGAGAAAATTTACCAAGCATACTTGTACATTGAAACGGATGCAGCATAACAAACAAGCTGCATCCCATCAATGCAGTTGAACTCAATTTAAAACACTAGGTTGAACAGCACCCAACTCTCTTCATCGCGGACACGTCTTTGCCAACATCAATTTTCTCCCCTTTGGATGGAACAGCCGAAGCTGCTCCATCTTCGCCAGTCTCCATAGCCTTCTTGCTCACAGTGCGATAGATCTGAGTAAGAACTTCAGCAAATGCATTGTCCACATTAGTAGCTTCCAATGCCGATGTTTCCATGAAGAAGAGAGACTCTCTTTCAGCAAAGGATGTCCCATCCTCAGTTGAGACTGCCACAAGGTGTCGGAGATCTGATTTGTTACCGATAAGCATCACTACAATATTAGGATCTGTATGATCTCTCAACTCCCTCAACCACCTTTCAACATTTTCAAAAGTGGAATGCCGGGTAACATCATAAACAAGCAGTGCACCCACAGCACCTCGGTAGTAGGCACTAGTAATGGCACGGTACCTACAGAACCAAAGTGATAAAGCTGTAAAGCTTGCAGAAAAAGGCCAGAAAATCATAACTTGATACAATTGATAGTTCAACCAGCAAGCATGGCTTATACCACAAGGAAAGAAAGTCACCAAAATACAAAGAAACAAGCAAATGTTATATGGGTTGAACACAATATCTCATCTTCTCTCAATCAATGTCCACACAATCAATGCCATTGCCAGTATGACGGTCATTTAAGCTTGACATCAGGAATCATGTGCCCACTGCAATGATCCAGTGTCCTACTAACATACCACGTATATCCATATTTATTAATTACATTTCCACCAATCATCAGACCCTTTTGCTCCACCAAAGCTTTTGTCCAAAAAACGGTAAATCGATAGTTCTCCAGCCATAGTTCCACAACACCTGCCAACAACTTTGATGTAAAGGGCTTGGATATTAACTCCTTCCCTTCCACAAACATCTCTTCTATCAGTTGGTTTTTTCAACTAATTTGACTCCTCTCTAAACAGAGAGAAAACTGCAATTTTCACCAACAGCGGGGCAGCCGTCGGGGAGACCGAGCTCTTAGTATAAACCAATGTTACCTAGATCATGAGTCGCTTTGAAATGTGGTACAAACGGATATTTGTAGTACTGACACTATTTTAGGTATGCGGCACGATGAGGTTATCCATAACTAGTACGATATTTTGGGTCACAATTCATTTTAGAACTCTTATCTAGATCACTTTCACTACTATACAACAATATATAACATATAAAATTCATAAACACCAAGTCAATTACCATTAATCTTACATTTGTGCTTAATTTTCTATTATCAAGATTCTAAAACAATATATAATTATGAATCTATATTCACGTAGTAAATTAATATGTATTTTATATTTGTATTACATGTTTCAAAGCGAATAGATTTAGGGTTTGCATTATAGTTTAGGGTTGTACATTTTGGTGATATGGATTGCAAACCGATCCCGTTTGGGATCAATGTATTCAGAGGGTTATTAGAAGTTTAGTGAATTCTAGTAATTAAACTCCCCTTCCTTATGACAGGAGGTTTCAAATATCTTATCTCGTATTCAAATACACTTCATCTCTTTGTTCATTTATTTGACCCGAGATCCACGCTTCTCAATGTTTGGGGGGGTTTGTCTCAATCTTAATGTCATTGATAATAGAAAAAGAAAAGACAAATTCACATATGCTTGGCCGATCCACACAAGGTTTCTAGCAAGGATATAAATCAGGTCAATTGAAAGCAAAATCGGGACGTTAATTTACGAGTTGGCTTTGGCAGGCCTTCAATAGCTTGTTGCCCAATGCCCATCCTAAGCATGGAGAAAGCCAGAGTTGTGTGTTGGTATGCCGGATAGGATCAATCATGTATAGGTTCATCCAGGATCAGCATGCCCGGATCTGAAGAATTTAATGACTGCTTCACTGCAAAAGATCGTGGATTGGTAGATTTGGTTTTCCTTCTCACAAACCACAGGAGTTCCTAGCTTCGAAAGGAGCAAAGCACATTCCAAAGGATGAGATATAGGAATAAACCAAACATAGTCTTTGCCATAGCTTTATTTGTGCATACTGCATGCTATGACTCTAAGACTGTCTACTTTCTAAACTTTCCCACATTGGGCACAATAGGGGTTACGTTAAAACTTAAAATGGGTTTGACAAGGTTCAGGCTTCTCACAATTGAACTTGGAAATGAAAGTTTGGGTTCTGAAAAATGCATTTAATCCACTTATACCCATTTTTCGTAAAGATGACAATTGCTGTAACCCATATTAATGAAATCTATGAGTCACAAATGTCAGTACTGGGTCAACATGTTCAGTGTCTTTAGGAAGCACAAATCACCCCCCCCCCCCTTGTCTCTTCACTCTCTGTGTGTGTGCCTCGATCAAATTCCTGTTTACACAACATAAATCCTTGATTCTAGATAAAGCCAATGCACATCCCTATTAGGGACCAAAATATTACAACTAGGCCAATTGCAAACAAAGACTGCAAAACTACTTTTTGCATTGTTTAGAGAACTTAACAGACTGATCAGTAAGAGTTTCATGTCCACATAACAAGTGATCAAGATCTATAAGAGGTTAAGATTTATAGCTGTATAATATAAGCATTTTACACTAACTGTACACAACTGTCCAGAAATTGTTGTGCATCACTTATTTAAGCTGTTTAAAACTTCAACGGCTTCAGCATTCCCTTCCATGAATTGTTCCCTTTTCATGTACTAATTTTACAATGCAATAAGTCTCGTGAGCTTAGCACAACTATTATTGGAATCATCACTGTTTTTTAAGGTTTATTGCAAGTTTAGAGCAAAGAAATGTTTTATGAACAGCCAGCACAAGAATTAACTTGATTTGACCACAGAAGATAGAGGACTTTTACTTACCGCCTCCAATCTAGCTCTCTTTTTTTCTTTTTCTTTTTTTTTAAATGACTACATATACAGTATATTACAAAATAAGGCTCATATATCAGCAGGAAAATGAACCTCAAGTTGATCTATTATGCTTTCATGAGATGAAATCAAAAAGGTTATGTAGTCTCACAAAACCGAAACTTGTAGTCTCAGAATTTTAGCACATAGGTTAAATTCTGCATGAGAAAAAAAGAAAAGAAAAAAGAAACATATACACACGATCATACATATGAAGGGTAGAAAATACCTCAAGTAGATTTGATTTGTTTAACTATTTAACCAAAAGATTGAAACATTGCAAGAAAACGGTATTAGACGGCGTTCATTTGAAGAGCTCATTACACGATCACCATAAGATAGATAATGGAAGTAGTGAAGGCGAATTATGATTGTAGACAAAAGATCATAAGAATTGACAAGGTTTGCCAAGTTGCCAGCCCACACAGAGAGAAGGGATTTGAATCCAAAATCAACAATTAAAAAGGATTAGAAGAAATCAAAATCTGCTTCTTTACTCACAGCATGAGACCCTATTTCTCACAGACTCGTCCAGGCCTCCAAAAGCCAAAAACTATTGCCAGCGCCAACTTCTTTGTACCAAATGTTATGCAATACTCCAAATGAGCCCACTAACTATACATCGCATAAGGCCCTATTCATAAGGGGGCTAAGGGTACCTTGGTTAAAGAAACTGGTGTCATGTGTCCCTAAACCCACAAAATACATCCCACAATAGAATGTATAATAATCTTGATAATTTCATGAAACTTGTTCACAAGAATTATAAGCCCAAGCTGATGTAAATCATTGGGCAAACATCATCCTTGACATTAACATCCTACTTAACATACTTCATAAAGTTTTGCTGCTTCTTTTTTCATCCTGTTCTATCTGTATTTCTATCTCTATTTCCGATATATTTTCCAGTTGTAAATTCTTTTTGTTTGTTATGATTGATTATGATGTAGTTCTCCGCTATTGGATATTTATAGGCTTACTCTATTCTTTTCTGGGATTTAGGGATTCGTGTATTTTTCTCACAAGGTTTCCTATGGATATGGAGTGTTTCATTTCTTACCTATTCACTTCTACTTGAACCGGCATTGAGCTTTATAAGGATCTAAAGGAAGATATCCTGGCTCATCACTACTCCACTTGTGGGGTGCAAGATCAAATTCGCAAAGCATATCTTCAACCATAATAAAATCTGAACAAGGCCTCCCATTGATAAGATAGTAATTAAGATCAACAAGGAAAAAAGTGCATCTTGACCCTTTCTTACAATCTGGTCTGCGAAAAATCATTGAGATGAAGTAAACAAAAGAAATGGTTCTAGTGATGATCAAGTAGCACGTCAAGTCCTTCCATACAAACAGTTGCAAGCAAAACATGGCATATTTCAAAGTAGAAAACAGGACTACTACTAAAGTCCAGAAGATCATCAAGCTAATAGGCATTAGATCCAAACTCCAGACTAGCACAAATACTTCCATTAAATTTCAGCAAGAATGATTTGGATGGATAAGAAATCCAGTGCAAAAAGGTAATCTCAATGCCCTGATGATGAAAATAACCACAAACAATCTCAAGAGAAATACAAGCAGAGGGCAAGGGAATAGGATCAAAAGGCTGACAAAATGGAACAATCCCAAAAACGCCTTTACCAGTAGACAAAGGAGTAATCTCAATAGAAAACAGGATATAACAATCTCATAGGCTCGTGAAGGGAAGAGGATTGAACAACCTCAATAGAGCTCTGACTACTGAATTTGAACGATTGGGCCCTCAAAAACAGATGTTGAAATCAACAACTATGACTTAGGAGATATGTCACTCATGTGCTCAACATATTGCAAGGGTTCTAACCAAATAGGTTGCTCCTTAAATTCCACGTCATGGGATTCCCGAAACAAATTACTTCCAAAAGGTGGTGGTTCAGATGGAATCCTAAGAATCTCTTTGATCACTAAAGGAAACATTATTTCAGATTCATTTTCTTCAGTTATTAGGCTTGTTTAACAATGGAGACAGACTGAGTCTAGATCCTGTTAGTACGACCTACAATTGACTTGTTCAACACTTTCCTTTGGGAATATAGACTCAAAGCCCATGATAGCTGGCAGAAAAGGAAAATGTGAGCAATAATCATAATTGTGTCACTCAAAAGGAAATGATGCTCAAGGAAAGAATTATTTAGATTAGAAATAGAAAAAGTGGATTTTCTACCCTCGATGATATAAGCTCTTTTGTTAGAATCATAATTAGGAAAATTACAATCCCTAAGAACTAATTGTGAAACGCAATACGATTTTCCAAAAGAATTGAACTTGAACTTATATTGGTAGGACTCCCTATCTTGCGAATAGAGAAAATATTTAAATCCTATGGCATAATGATAAGCCTGATTCAATGTGTTCGGTGGATAAATTTCAGCCTCTCAAATCTGTATCTTGATTTACACCCTTCAATACTTATTTTCCATACGGTAGCTTTAGGAAATATCACATGAACAGTTTGCAACAGAGGTGTGAAGCAATTGAGCAAATCAAGTATAGCCTTGACTATACACTACCTTCCAGAAAGGTAAAGTTTCAATTCAAGAACAAAATTTGAAACATTTCACATCATTTCATAATGTCATTGTCAATTGATGGAATGTAATAATGAAGGACCACAGGTGGATCACATAATAGGCCAAACAAGTTGTCAAAACCAAGATGTATCAGTACCCAAAACAAATCTATATTTGATTTGATCTAGCTGCAACCCAGGGTAAATTGTAATTTTCATAAAAACCGAAAAAACCATATACCAAAACAGCATCCCAGATCAAGAACTGTTTCCTAATAAAGATTGGAGCACTGCATCAAAAACTCCCAGATCTCATAAATGAAATCCCATTTATGAAATACCCAACTTACCACGCAAAGAACCCTCTACAAACCCTAAAACAACAAAACCATATCTGGAATATACAAAAAATTCACCAGTAAAGACCCAGATCAGAACAAGTAAATCTAGGCATAAAAAAGCTGCCTCCATTGGCAAGCAATGTCCCAAATCTTACTAACCCAACTCCATAGACAGACCACAAATGCAGAGCTTCACAAAAAACACAAAATTGACAAAATATACAAAAAACCCAGATCAGAAAACGAGAATGGTCGTAAAAAATGTCACCTTTCTTGGCCAGCAGTGTCCCAAATCTGAGCCTTGATGACCTTTCCATCAACAGTCAAGCTTCTTGTAGCAAACTCAACACCAATTGTAGACTTGGACTCGAGGCTGAACTCGTTCCTAGTAAATCTTGAAAGTAAGTTGGACTTGCCAACACCCGAGTCTCCAATCAGAACCACCTTGAATAGGTAGTCATAGTCATCTTCGGCTCTATACCCAGTCATTACTCTGTTACACAAACAACGCAGCTACTCTCTCTCTCTCTCTCTCTCTCTCAAACGAGTATAAAGAACGAAGTTTCTCTCCTATGAAACTCTTTTCTTGGTTTCTATGACCCTTCTGTTGAATTGAAATGGGACAGAGAGAGACCACTGTCTGGCGTATGCTATTTTGCGGGGCTGAGAAAGTACAGCGATGAGAATTGAAAGAGATCGCACTGGAATGACTCAACCGACCTCCATTGTTAAATGTTTTTTTTGAGACATGCTTTGATTGCGTAAGCCAAATTTATATTTCGAATCAATTGGGTCGGTCTTTCCATCCAAAAAAAAAATTATTAGGACCTACCGATCTAATTATTCTCCTTAATTTGAGATATAAATTTACTCAATTATTTTTCTTAATTTAAGATATAAATTTGAGTTATATAGTATTATTTAATTTTTTATATGACACTTATTTTAAAATTATCAATTTATATTCAGATTGAGGTTAGCGTAGACCACCGCCTTAGTGTTGGATTTTAAGATCATGATTTCAAAATTTTTTGTTTTTTTCCTAATAACATTTGATAAAAAAAAATTTGTACTCAAATTGTACTCTTAATCGGATAAAATGGTATCAATGTAATCCAAAATTAAATATTTGTTATTGTTTTTGACAAATTTTTTGATTGTATTTGTCATATTATCTTTTTTTTTTTATTTTTTTAACGGTCAAGAGTATTCGGACCCTTTTACGCTCGCTTTGACTAATCTCCTTTATGGTTCGATCAAAGAACATCATCCACACTAGAACTAAGATAAAATAACGTATTCATAAGAGATTACTAAAATTCAAACTTAGTACGTCTGAGTTTATAGTTTATCCTTATTGTCATTTGATCTACCTCTTAAGGTTAATTTTATTCTTTTTCAACGAAAATTTTGTACTCTATTTTATTAAAATGGAGCATATTGTTATATATTTATTTGATTAAGGATGATAAAAATATGAATATTTTAATCTTTTAAGGTTCAAAGTGTTATTTCCCTTTTTTGGCATATTATAATATATATTTAGTCCACTTGCAAATACAAGGAATGAACGAGCAAAGAAGATTAGTCGAGACACACATAAGTTAGTCCAGACATTTCTCGACCATTGAAAAAATCTATGCTGACCGATTAATTAGAACTCTCTTATTCAAATTGACGATGTAACACCTAAATTCTTTTCAGTTGAATTATTTTTAGTAGGGTTTATAAAAAGACTTTTATTTCATTATGAAAGTCAATACGTCCCATTTATCCTATAGAATCCTATCACGTGATCTCTATCTATATACCGTATCAAAATTTATTTAATTCATAAATGATCCATTAATGAATATGAATTTAATTTTAGTTGAATGGGATTATAAAAATGTAGATCTGACACAAATCAATAAAATACAACTTATATACAAAACGAACTCAACAGAATGCGAATCTTATAATACAAGATTATTAATAGATTGTGTATGAATTATATAAATTTGAACGCGACACAAACACTACAGTGTCACTTTTAAAGTATTGCCACACACCCTTTAACATATTTGTTTCCACCCCCAATTATATAAATGTTTTGGTCATGTTTCGTTTGGATCACACTAATTTTAGTTAGAAATGAAATTCTCATTTCTAAATCTTAGATTATCAGGTCAGTAAATTATTCAGTAATTAACTCGGGAATAATATGTCTACCGTAATCTAATTCTCAGTAATGGTAGGTATCATAAACGCATGGCCAATAATAGTAATCTCATATCTACAATAATTAGGTATTTAATTAAAAATTAGGTTGTCCTCCTAGAGTCAATATCTTTTATAAAATTAAGTTTTTTCTTAAAACAATTTGACAATAATACTGACCAAAAATTAAATATAATATTATTAATAGTAATTAAAATTCGGGTATCTCATTACTAGAATGCAATTTTTATTCCCAATAAAAAATTTTATAATCCAAACATGCCTTGGGGTAAGGCTCTCGTTTAATTCTAAAATAATTTGCGGATTCTCCGATTTTTTTGAAGGGTGAGAATCCTTCACGTTGCAGACTCCAAGGAATTAATTTGGAGTCTGCCACTGAAAGCGCTTGCTCTTTCTCCATGGACAGGACAATCTGCTAATCTCAACAGAAGGCCACAGTATTCGGTGGTCTCAAACAAAGAAGTCCTTCACTGCTGTCCCAAATACCAGCTTACCCATCCTTCTCTTTTTAAGACATACTTTAAATCAATTCAAATCATAGTTATCAATCATTGAGCTCGAGAAAGTATTTGACGTAAATCCGAGCTTATGTCATGGATGGATTTGAGTAGACAGATTTGCCCATCTAAGGTGAGGGAGGACTTACAACGAATATAAAATTGATCTATTTTAACATAAACGTTAAAGATTTAAGTCGTCAAAATAACATTTATATATATACGAGAGTAAGATTATATACATCGGTCTTTCTTTAGACTGCACAACGGTGAAACTCTAGAAGGCAAGCCACTCTTTTTAAACTTACTCCTATAAGTAGGTGCTTTCCAAACACAGTAAATGCTCTAAAATTTATGGGATTAAGATTGTCCAATACTAATGGGTTTGACTCACAATTCTTAACCTATGGAATAAATTTGACACTAAATCACATGAAAAGTTAGAAAGGATCGATTTTACTTCAACAAATTGAGTCATAAACAAGTTCACTCACAAAATCTATTTAACAAATGAGTCAGATTCGAACACGATTAAACAAGAAAATAAACATATTTTATTGATTATAAACGATTGAAAATAAATCCAGTCTAAGTCAAGTAAATTTTATAGTGTTATACCACTTATAGTCTTAAAAACACAATACTAACACTATAAATATCGAGAATCTTTTCAAAGAAGAATTTTTATTTTATTTTTTTGACGAAAATAATCCCTTCATTAAAGTTGTATAAACTTTTGAATGAGTAGGTCCCTTAAAAATTTTTAAATAGGTATAGTTGTATAGACTCTGAATGAGTAGGTCCATTAAAAATATTGAGGAACCCACGCATTCAAGTTTCTTAGCATTGTTCTAGTCTTCGTGATAAATTCAAACACTAGTGTGAACCCCTATTATGCTATCCATGTCCACTCCATGATTGCACATTTGCTTACATCCAAACACGTCCTTATCAGTCGTCCTTCCACCTTCACGTTCATCTCTAAAACCCCACCCTCCAAATGTTTTTTCTCCTCCTCAACCTCACCCAATCCCAACCCCAACCCCTTTAGCCTTCTCTCTCTCTCTCATCACCATTTTTAAAGCTCTATGTCCATCTCTGAAATCTCATCTTCTCCTTCATTACCAGTGGCCTCCTCTCTCTCCCCTCTAAGAGTCCAATTGGTGTCAAAGTCTGTATCAGATAGACTACTTGGAAAATTCTGTGATGTATCAGAGTTTGACTTTGATTATACTCAAAGTGGGTTGTGGTCTCCTCCTGTACAAAGGAGTGTGTTCATGAGCTCTCCTGCGGGGAAGATATTTACAGAGAATGAAATGCTTGTGAAGCTAAGAAGTGTTTTGGAAGGCCAACGGAGAAGAAGATACAGAGTTTGTTTCAAAGTATGAGAGAAGATACAGGGTTTGTTTCAATGTGTCAAACCCATTTGTTTTAAGGTTTGTTTGATTTCATTCATTTTCATTTTCAGGCTTTTTGGTGCTCTCCAAAGAGATGATGAAGCCGACATTTCTTCATTTTCATTTTGGAATGGTTCAGAGAATGGCCGATATCGATATGACTCCGGTTTCGTGGGAAAAAAAAATTGTTTACCATCCCCAGTAAAATCTTATGAATTTTTTCGGTGATTTGTAAAGAAAATGAGTTTTACTTAATTTTTATTTATTTATTATTACTTGTTGGACATTGGGGTTGTTAAACGATTTGGGCAGCTTGTGAGCGGGACAGACTCGACTCGATTTGAGTTTGTTCATATTATAAAAGATGAGTCGAATTTGAGTAAATTTATCGGACTCTTTAGTATCTAAGTAAAGCCCAAGTTCCTCATGAGTTGTTTTTCTTACTTATACATAATGTACATGTAAATTATTATAGATCTTAAAAATATTTTAGTAAAATTAGCAAAAATTTTAACTTTGTATGTTGTACTTGTACATATCTATATGATAATTAGATATGTGTTTAAACTTATGAAGTGTATATTTTTTCTTCCAAAATTTCACACACCTAGTAAGCACACTTTTCCTCTAAAATTTCAAAAATCCAACACACGTACTCCACAACATACACCTACATATACATACACTCCAACACACACATTTCAATGTATGTAGAGTGTCATAATTCAGTGTATAGTGACTTAAGTCACGAGGTATCACTTGTCTATAATAAAATAAGTAAAAAGTTGAATTTTATCCCTTATATATTTTTTCCCAAAAAAATATCACATCACCCAATTTTACCATATGTTTCTTATTTTAATATTTAATTAATTGATAGTTTAACACAATTTTTATTTCATTCTTTGTTCATACACGATAGTATGCACATGTTAAGAAAATTTTGTCGGGTTATACATTTTTGAGAAAATTGACGCTATTTTTAAAAAAATAATTGGTAAAGAATAATTTTAAATAATGTAATCAAATGAACGAAGAAATAAAAATTTGTTATTTGGTATAATAGAATCAATTTTTTGAACGCTCGTGCCTTCAAACACGGGATATGACCCTTAAATTTATAATATACATATAAATTTAAGTTTGTATATTTTTGTTGTGATTTAGAGATAATTTATGTTCAGATATATGTGCATTTTTTGTGAATTTTATTTGATTGGGTGCTTGAATTTATGGATTATAATTTTTTTGACTTACTTGTTTTTTGCTGGAGTTCGACTCGAAAAGCTCAAATTTTTTTGAATAATTGAGTATAACCAAGTTCAAAACACTCGACTCGATTAACACTCCTACCATACGCCATCTAATTTTATTTTATGGGCTGACCACAAAAAAATGTTATTATATGGGGGCTAGTTTCTTGTTATATGCCATCGATGTTTTGTCATGTTCAATTTCTTTTATTTAGCATTGGGTGCATTCCTCGAAATTGCTATCGAAAACATGGAGGCTAAAATCACAACTTCTTCTAGTCATCAACAAGAGGAATCTTAGGCTGGGAAGTATATATATACTTGCACTTTATACATTAGGAACAATTTCACTTAAGATCACTAGTATTTCCAAGCCTTCACGTGATTTAGAATTTATCCCTCATGAATTTTTTAATCTTTGCATGGATAGCTTACTTTTGACCAAATTAGAGAAAAAATTAGTCTTGGTACGTAAAAATTGACTTAAACACCCCTGATAATAGAATAAAAAAAAACAGAGGACAAGATGTGAATGACTTGCTTTGAAACCTGAAAACCACCTTGACTTACTGCAGGTAAGGATGTCAAGTGTGTCAAGTTGATTTTGAGTTTGTGTTAAAAATCACAAAATTTAAACATAACATATTTAATAATCGTGTCGAGATGTGTAAACACTAACCTGACCTAATCAGTAAACGAGTTACCCGAATCCGATCTGTTTGACACATTTAATAAACATGTCGTTTTCGGGTCAATACACATAACATGATTTGTTTAACTTATTTAGCACACATAACACATGCCTGTTTAACACATAACATGTTTCCATATCAGTTCATTACCATTAAATATATCATTCAATCATTCATCCAAAATTTCAGAATGTGAAGTTGATATCACTTCACAAAATTGGCCAATTAAATAAGGTCATATGTTAATTTTAAACTAATGAATACATTCATATATAAGACTAAATAAGAACATATATAGAAATGTGTGTAAATATATGCATACATATGTACTTATCTATGTAATAAAGTAGTTAGAAAAAATTATCTTGAATTTTTTGTGGCTCAGATCACTTTCAAGTTTTTCATCCGATGATTCTAATTAATCTATTCTTGGGCTAAGAGTTTGATTTCATTTACAACTCTAACACTCTCTCTCTTTCTCACTCTCTCACACACACATATGTCTCTCTCTCCCAACTGTTCAGATATGTCTCTCTCTCTCTGTTACACTTCTTCACTCCACCGCCACCACCACAGTCTCTGCATATACCATCGCCACAACCTTTACATACCACCGTTGTCGCAATTATCGCACAACCTCCAAGGATTTTTTTCTTCCTTTTCCTCTCCTCTCTACTTTCCACACATACAAAAAAATTACATCCCTCTTCACAAAACATAGTAAACACACACCTGCATAACGCAAGACCCTAGTGACACCCACCTGCAATGCTATCAACCCATCGATATCGGGTATCTCCATCTCTCTACACCATTGCACAGCCACCGCCACTGCTAGCACCTATTTCAATTTCAGGTATCTCTAGCAATCGTCTCAGCTCTCTTTAACGCATCTCATATCTTTTTTTTTTTCTCTCTCTTGGCATGTCGTTCTAACCCCACCCAAAAGCTCTCTACACACCAACTGTTCGATAAATTGCCAAGCTGATACCACCACCAATCGAGTCACCAACTGTTACCCCACTATACAGCCCGCAAACACCATGTTTTCAATGAAATGTTACTACGGACAAAGTTTTTGATTTTTTGGTACTCCAAATTGGTGGTTCTAAGTTTCTTTCCATTGCCATCGTTTTTGTTCATGGGCAGATAAGTTTTTCTCCCTTTTCTCACAAATTGGTAGGATTCTCAAGATTGTTAATTTCTTCGCTCTTCCCAGGCCCTTCGACCACCATCAATCATGAGTGTTGGTTTTGTGCATATGGCATAAAAAAAAGGTCAAGGTGGTTATATATATATATTTGATTGAGTGTTGTGTGATGTGTTTGATTTTATTATTGTTTTGGCTAGCAGGTTCCTATATAGCAATAGAATGTGACCCGGAAACATTTTTGTGAGAAATTTTTAGTTTACATCTTCATGTGTGGTATGAAATTGCTTCTCTTTCTCTTTCTTCTTTTCTTTGGACAGTTTCTCTGTAATTTATTTCACTCTTCGATGTATATTTGTGTGCCTACTCCATGCATTTGTGAATATTGTGTACAATTGAGCTTTCTATATTTTGTATCTCTGTGATTTTCCTTGGTGTGTGTATGTTTGTAGTTATATGGGGATTTGTTAATTAGATTTCGACAATTGATAAGACGATTGGTGCTGCTCTTGGAAAGGTATAATCTTTGGCCCTTTATGTTATTTATCCTCATATGCAATAAGATGTTTGTTTTTCTTTCATATGCTTATGGATTCTATGGTTCCATTAGACCATGTTACTAGATAACATGTATATAACTTCAATGTCATATAATTTTATCGTTCCAAGTAGAACTGAAGCGCCACCAACTTAATAGTTCTTATATGATGTAGATGTTTAAAGTTGAAATGAAATCTATATTGGATGAGATTGTCTCAGATGATAATTAGGGGTGAAGAGAGTTGATGATTTTGGGGGAGAGGAAGTTGGTTGTCAATATTGATAAGGAGGTGAAATTGTTTTCTTTCACCCAAAAGTGAAAGTCAAACACATTAGGATTCTTGGTTAAGACATCAAACAATAGGGTTAACTTAAAACTCAGGATTTTGGAGGATCTGGTAACAAAGAATACCTATAAATATCCCTTAAAAAGTATCACAGGTGTTATAAAATTTGGTAACAAAGCACTGGTGGGAAGCTACCGAAAGCTATTAAAGAATCCCATTCGGAGTATATTTCCTTCAATCACTCAAAAACTGTTGAAAAATGGAGGGTTTGGTGGGAAGTAGCTGATTTTTTGGGAGATTCTAGGGACAGAGTTTCTGATGGAATTTTATCCCTTACGTTATTCATTAATTAAATGACAACATTTTGTTCTAAACACACCCTATTCTAACTCAATTTTACATTTATATGTTTGTGTAATATGAAACATAAGAGAGATTATTGAAGGTTTGGAATTGCCTCTAGAGGTCAAGACAAGTCGCTTATTAGTTGACACCACATATTTGTGTTGGGGTAGTAGTTGAACTACTAAAAATGGATGTATAGCCGTCAATGTGATGAATGAAGCTGATGCCTAGATCCAATTAAGGTAAAATTAGGACAGAAGAGTTGGAAAATTTGAGTTTTGTTTTAAATAAAAATCAAGGTTTTGATTCCTAATTCCAATTGTAGGTATGTAAAATTAATGGAGAATTCATATCTTTTCTAATTAAAGTTTTTTTTGGGTTACATTTTTTGTGTTACACAAACGCAAAAATAGAATTCATTTTAGCATAATGAGCAATACAGTGTGAAGGTAAAATCATTTGTATATATTTGAAATACTTTGTTTTTCAGTGTCCATTTAGTCAATGAGTTTTTGGAAAAGCTTTAATGAAAGAAAATCAAAATGTTTACGTATACTTCTAGCATTCTGACTATTTGATCTTGGAATTTTCATTTTTTTAAAAGAAATTTCTTTATCGGTAGTCTATAACCAATGAACTTTTGGTCTAATAATACTCTTTGTCTAGTAAAAACTTTACTTTCTTAAGGTCAAGGGTTCAAGTACCCCTCCCCTCCCCCTCCCCCTTCCCCTTCCCTCTCCCAAATTTTATTTTTTTTAAAAAAAAGTCTATATGTTTCATTAATTTTGTATACCTTACTTTGTGTGATTCGATCAAGAGTTTTAATTACTAATTTTAAAAATTTTTTGTTATACTTTGAGCGCTTAAGTAGCCACTATGACTGCTATTGAATGTTTTGTTTATAGTCTCTTGAACTATCTGACTGACTAACATTTCGAAAATAGCTTATTTCTTTGACTTGAAAAGAAAAATAAAAGAATTTTTGATAATACAATTTTTTAAATTTTTTTTAGAAAAATGAAGTAATGTGAATATTAATTTTCTTTTGTTTTATGTCAATGATGAGAAGAGGAAGGATGACTTGCGGTGAATGTTATAGGTGAGAGGCGTATTTGTAGCTATTAGTTAAAGTTTTTGCATTGTTTTGTTGGGTTCTGGAGGTTGCTATGGTCTTGAATAATAATTATATACTTCTCACAATACTACCTAAATTTTTGGTAAAGTGAATTTGCATACGATATTTTCAAAATGGATCATATTTTAAAATCTCACCATGTTTGACACTTAAAGTTAAGGTGGGATCGAGAAAATTAATGTGGTAGATTGATTTGTCTTTCTGATAAAAAATTCACGGTACTCAAAAGGGCAAGATACAACTCAAATTGTTGCACTTGACCGATGAGTTGAATTTGGTTTGTTTTGATTGTGTGACAAGTTTGTATTTGAACTTTATTGTAATATCTATATTATTTGGATTAATGAAATACTTTATCTTCTCAATTTTATTTTCTTGTATTGTACAATGCCTTCGCGTGCATAAGTTGTTGTTTACAATTTTTTTGTTTATATAGTGTCTTTAAGTTCAAACAATTATTAGTTTATTTATATTACAGAAAAAAAAAACAATAAATATCAATAAATTTGAAGAACAAGGGCAAAACAACAACCTTTGGAAGTAAATGTTGTTTAACAACATAGAGAGAGAGTAAAAGTGTATTTTTCATCATCATCAATCAACAATCCAAGATTTTGTTTTATCATCAATCTAGTCTAGGTCATATTTTATCCTTTTCTCATCAATAAATAGATATCTCTACTTGTATACATACAAGCTAGATAGAGATGAAATCAAAAAAAAAAAAAAAAAAAGCTAAATAGGGATAATTTTTTGACTACTTGTTGGATGCAACACTAGTGAGGCCCTATGGTAACTTAAAAACTCTTTTTGTCAAAAAGAAAAAAGAAAAAAAACAGTTAATACTATGTTTTGTTAGTTTATTTTTAAATTATCAATTTGATCTCTAAAATATTTAATTTATATTTAAATGGCCTCTACGCAGACGAATCATTAATTATTTGCCTGAATGATTATGTTCAGTTCCGTCAAAAAACTTAACAAATTGCCTAATTAAGGATCAAAGAGACATAAATTAAAATTTTAGAGATCAAATTGATAAAATTAATACAATGAATACAAAACTAATAAAATAGGCATACTTTATGGACTAAAGTGTTATTAACCCAAAAAAAATTCAACCCAGTAAAGCCCTAACGTCTCCCCTCCCCTTCGCCGGAGTACACACCAAAGTTCGCCACAGCCTTAACGATTCTCCTCTTTCATCTTTGCCGGATTAAACTGTCGCACCACCTGAAATCGACGCCGGGGACATCCCCGACGACTGACATCGCTGCCTTCTTTAGAAAGACCATCCTGTAGTTTTGGTTTTATTCCTTCCTCTACCGTAAGCCATAGCCGTTCGACGCTGCCACAGCAGCCCAAATCAACGCCACCCAAATCGACGCCACCACAACAGCCCAACGAACAGGTGGGTGTTTTAAAGAAGACGACGCTGTCCGTGGCCGGCATTGATTTCTAGAGCTGTAAAGGCCCGGACAACTGTTTTTTGTTTTCTGTTTAGTTTTGTGGTTTTGGGTCTTGCTGCAAAGTCCCTTCATTGAAGGTCAAAGTGGGTGGAGACGCCAAATCATGCAGAGCTTCTTTGTTGGTTGCTACTCATATGAACTGATCCTTTTTGCTTGATGAAAAGACTGGTTGAGCTATTAGCCAATTGTTCAATTATGGGTGCTGTGAGTGTGGGTTTGCTGATGCACGGTCAGTGCCTTGTTACCCTGTTCTTAAACTTCACAATTATAATTATATTGTATGCCTTCTTCCTTTGATTTGCTACCAAGAAGCCTTTTTCTATCACAAATCCAAAAATTCATTCCTAGAAAATGGAAACAAAACATTAAACAATCAGAAACTCAAAGAAAACACCAATCCACTTCATATAAATTCCAAGGATCAATCCTAGACGCCTTCACCACGGGTGATGAATCCATGGTGGATTTGTTTCTTACATCCCTCAAGTATTTTGCAAGCCAGGGCCATCTATGTAAAGCCTTTAGAACCTTCGCTCTCATCCAAGGCCATGCCCGTTCCTCTGCTTCTCGTTCTGACTCTATTTTACACTCCTTATCTTCTCTTATGTTGTCTTGCACCAACCTCAAGTCCGTGCCACAGGGTAAACAACTTCATGCCCACATCATCTCTTTGGGTCATGAACAACACCCTGTATTGGTTCCGAAACTGGTTACCTTCTACTCAGCCTCCAGTTTCCTGGGTGATGCTCATGTTGTTACATTAAATTCAAATATATTGCATCCTCTACCTTGGAATGTACTTATTTCTTCATATGTTAAACATGGCCTTTGTGCTGAGGCTATGCATGCCTATAAACAGATGGTAGGCAAGGGGATTAGACCTGATAATTTCACTTACCCGTCTGTTCTTAAGGCTTGTGGGGAAGAACTCAATCTGGGTTTTGGGAGGGAGATTCACATGTCTATTGATGCTAACAATATTGAGTGCTGCTTGTTTGTGCACAATGCATTGGTCTCCATGTATGGGAAGTGTGGGGAATTAGACATTGCTCGGAAGCTCTTTAATGAAATGCTGGAAAAGGATGCTGTATCTTGGAACTCAATGATCTCTGCATATGCCTCTAAGGATATGTGGACTGAAGCCTTTGAGCTTTTCGAAAGCATGCAGGCTGATGGCGCAGAATTGAATATCGTAACCTGGAATACCATAGCTGGAGGGTACTTAAGAACAGGTAAATACAAGGTATCACTTACTTTGCTTTGTCAGATGAGAACCTGTGGCATTCAGTTGGATTCCGTCGCGGTAATTATTGGTTTGGGTGCATGTTCCCACATTGGCCAGTTAAAAGTGGGAAAAGAGATTCATGGTTTAGCAGTTCGTAATTGTTCCGATGGGTTTCCCAATGTAAAAAATACATTAATTACTATGTACTCAAGGTGCAAGGACCTCGGGCATGCATATATTTTGTTCCGTTTAATAGAAGCTAAAACTGTAACTACTTGGAACTCCATCATATCTGGTTATACACACTGGGATCGATCTGAGGAAGCCTCCTTTCTGTTTAGAGAAATGATGCTTTCTGGTACCGAACCAAATTACGTGACAGTTGCAAGCATTCTTCCCCTCTGTGCTCGAGTGGCAAATCTGCAACATGGTAAAGAGTTCCATTGCTACATTACCAGGCGTGAAGCGTTCACCAAATATTTGTTATTATGGAATGCTCTTGTGGATATGTATGCAAAATCAGGAAAAATTTTACTAGCCAAAAGATTGTTTGACTTGCTGAGCATAAAGGATGAAGTGACTTACACTTCATTAATGGCTGGTTATGGGATACAAGGAGAGGGACAAGCTGCAATAGAACTATTTGAAGAGATGAACAGGTTCCAGATAAAACCAGACCATGTAACGATGGTTGCCATTTTGTCAGCTTGTAGCCATTCGGGTCTTGTAGTCCATGGTCAGATGCTATTTGAAAAGATGCAAGCTGTCTATGGTATAACTCCTCGTTTGGAGCACTTTGCTTGCATGGTGGATCTTTTCGGGAGGGCTGGTTTACTGAAAAAGACAAAAGAAATTATCTCAGCTATGCCTTACCAGCCAACTCCTGCAATGTGGGCCACTCTTATAGGAGCATGTCGGATCCATGGAAATATGGAAGTAGGGGAGTGGGCAGCCGAAAAACTATTGACATTTCGGCCGGAAAATTCAGGATACTATGTGTTGATTGCTAATATGTATGCTGCTGCCGGGTGTTGGAACAAACTAGCACAGGTAAGGGCTTTCATGAGGGACTTGGGTGTGAGAAAGGCTCCCGGCTATGCATGGGTTGATGTTGGTGCTGGATTTATCCCCTTCTTGGTGGGGGACATGTCAAATTCACAAGCAATTAAAATCTACCATTTGTTGGAGGGATTGGCTGAAGAAATGAAAGACGCTGGTTATGCTGCCTGCGACGAGTTTGAATTAGAGGATGAAGTCTCTGAGAAATAGAATGCACAGAGGAACTTACCCTACCATAATTGAGATGAGGAGTTCAAGGAAACTCATTTGGGCAGGAATACTCACAGAAGGGCTTAGTCTCATTAGTATAAGAAAGTGAGAAACTATTAAATGTAATGGTGATTCCATATCATTATTGACACATAGTATTACTAATTAATTGAAAACAAACACGTAAGACTAATAGATCCCACTTAATTTAATAATCACCTTTCTCCATACAATAACTATCTTATCTAAGGATCAAACTATTTCGAAATGGTCGAAATATCCGAATCGTTTCCGTTTCCAAAAAGACCGAAACGAATCAGTGATGAAATCAAAATTCTAATATTTCGCGGTGTTTTATAATGTTTCAAAATATTTTGTTATAATTCAATATATTTGAACAATTATTTATAAATATTTCAATGTACTTTAAGATATTTTGGTATATTTCGACTAATGTTTTGAAAAAATAATTCTTAAATTTTTATTTTTTTCATTCTGTATTCGAAACGGGTTGAAACGTTTTCGAAACATGTCAAAACGTTTCCATTTCTTAGGTGACCGAAACAATGCATTGAAACAAAATTTTGATCCTTGATCTTATCATTATTTACTTCTTTGTTATATCTTTCTAATTCTCCTAGTCTCTCACCTGAATTGCAATCCAATTCACACACACACACACAGGTAATATATTATGGTGGCCTTGGATTACAGTTGACATACAAATGGAGAAAGAGTTGCTAGATTCTACTGTTCATACTATATTGGTAAACTGCACATTATTTTGTTGAATTTGTTAAATCTTTCTCGAGACTTGAGCATTTGTTCCTAATGACTTGAGGGTCACTTTTTCTTCCACCATTTTACTCTGTCTAGGGCTGTGATTAAATTAAACCAGAAGCTAAGCTAGTATCAATTTGCCTCCTGTTCATTTTTCCTTTACTAATTTCAGTATTATTTTGGATTTTTGTTTGTTTAAGTGAAGCACTATTTAACGAGAAAAAAGGTTTGAGCGTGCTTTGATATTGCATGGAAATTGAATGACTACATTGTGTTGAACATTGCATTTAAGGTCTAAGATTGATCAGTCAGTATAGTACCAAAATCTCAGCACAGCATATGGGATCAATCTTTGAATAGGATTGCAAATAGATGTCTTAGGAGTTTGACCCTCCAAAATCCACCAATAATTTCCTAATAAGTCTGCATTGGCAAATATAATTTTTGTAGTCTATCTATTTATATTATTGTCGCATTGATGGCTAGCTTCTCATCTGGTAGGCCTCTTTCTAGGTGGCCACTGCTTCCAAATTTGTCATGCACCTGTTTTTGGGTCCCTTCCAATGGAAACAAATAGCTAGACGATGAAACGCATCTTCTTATTTATTTCTTCTTACAGACTGCCTTGTTTGGAGGATTACTGGAATGTGAGAGAACGTCCTCATTGATGGCAGACCACATGCTTGGATATAACACTTTAATGTGATTTCCTCTCCAAGTGTTTGGCATATACCTGTTTTTGACCATCCGTTTTAAGCAATGTAGTTTAAGGATGAAAATAGTATTCAGTGAGCATATCTGTATATGCCAATTATTTTTGTAGAAATTTGTTTGTAATAGGAACCCAAAAATTATGTTATTACCTGTTCTTAGAAAAGAAAAGAAATGAGCAAATTGATCAGGACTATCTCGAGAAAGATTCAAAGATTCTGTTGAGGTTCTCTTACAATAAGTTATGCTCTGCAACAGGGAAGTTGTCTGAAAATCTTGGAGGGGGATTCGGAATGGTACTCAAAGGTGTACTAATAGATGGAACATCCGTTGCAGTAAAGCAGCTTGATAAAAAAAAGGCAGGGAACAAAAGAGTGCCGTGCAGAGATGGACACTGTAGGAACTATACACCACATACAATGTGGCCCGGCTATTTGTTTTTGTGTTGAGAAAAGATACAAGATGTTGGTATATGAATATGTAAGCAATGGGTCATAGCAAAAGGCTTAGCGTATCTTCACGAGGGCGGCAGACAACGAATTGCACATTTAGATGTTAATCGTGAAATATCCTCCTTGATGAAAACTTCAATGCGAACCTTTCTGATTTTGGCATGTCAAAATTAATCAAGAGAGATGAGAGTCGAGTGGTGACCGCCATAAGAGGAACCTTAGGGTATCTATCTCCAGAGTGGCAACAGTCGAGAATTACTGTGAAAGCTTATGTTTTCAGTTTTGGGATTGTTCTGTATAAATTGTTAGTGGAAGGAAGAACTTAGATCGTTCCTAATCTGATTCAGGTGTTCACCTGCTATGCCGTCTGCAGAAGAAGGCAATTGAGAACCAACTGGTTGACATTGTTGATTGCCGAAGTGAAGACATGCAACGCCATAGTGAAGAAGCTATCGAAATAATTAGGCTTGGAATGTGGTGTTTGAATAATGATTATACAAAAAGCCCCCCTATGTCTTCAGTCATAAAGGTTTTGGAGGGAGTTAAGGAATTAGAACCCATTGTCAGCTTCAACTTTCCATGCAGCGTGATCTCTGCTGTGGACTCTACTGTCTAAGATTTCCTTACATTAGAGGCCAGTTTAACAGCAACAACAGAAAATCTGTTCTAGTTCTTTTCTAATAGCACAAAAAAAGGGCAGTTTTTTTCTCTCCTTTTTTGATTGAGTACTCTGATGTGTTGTAATTCAAGTTGGATCCATCCCTGTAGCAGAAGGAACTGAAGTTTCATTACAGCCATCTATGTGGTCTTCTAATTCTTGCCGAAATAAAACAAGCTGACATTCCATCCATATGGACGTCTAATCCTGACTAAAAGTTGATGAACTTAGCATCGGCTGGGTGAGCGGTTGTATAAAAAACTGCAACGTTTTTTATTATTCAATATTAAAGTTAGAATCCACAATGACTCAGCTCGGTTTATTAATCTAATTTTCATTCATGATCAAATTACCTACTAATAATAGTTTACACTAGTCTGTTGAAATTGATGTTTTTATTGTAAGAAAGTGTACAGGTGTGTTGCCTTGAGTTCTCTTGCAAGGGTTAAGAGGAAGCTAATTTTTGACAGTTCAAAAGTGGGGTGATCAAGAAGGAAGAAGTGTACAAAGCCTTTTGTTCTTGTTGGTAATACTCATGGAAGCAGGAAATGGACTATGTTCAGCCAAAAGATGCACATGAAATTTATATCGGTAAAGCTGAAAGAGTAATTGTCCATGGTATATCGAATTGCTTGTTCAGTATATATGTTCCTTGCTTGACTGTTATGATAAATATTTGTTCTCATGTTTATGAGCAGTTTTAATTGAGTGGCTTACGCAAATTGAGGTCACAGGTTTGTCCTATCGAATGTGATATCATAGAGTTCTTCTTGTTGGAGATAGATTGCTTATGTTAAGGCAAAAGAGAAGTTAGTTTTCTTGTTAGACAGGATTTGCTACATTGAAAAAATTGTCTGTTGCTACAAAAAGAAAAATTCTGTGCAGAGAGTTTTGATATTCTAATTTACGATTGTGCATTTCAGCTCATGTAAGTCTTACAATGGCCAAAAGCATGGTGACAGTTCGATGTTGTGTCATTCATTTCTTCAGCATCTGTCCTCATCTCATTAGCAACATTCTTGGTCAGTAATGGTATCTATTGAATTTGGAATCGGATGAGTTGTGCCATGGTTGGACTCAGCCACACAATGCGTTCATGGTTCATACGAAAAAGGCCTTTTAGCTTTCTGTAAATTCAAGGGAAAGAGGATTTCCTCTTGGCCCACCCTTAGCTCTCAGTTCGAAGTCTTTGATTCTCTACTGCTTTCTCTAAAGTTTCAATTTATTTTTTGAGAAGAGGAAGCGCTGGCCCTTGTCACGGTGAGTTATCTTTGGTTTAAATGCATTCTTGCCCATGATAGGGAGTGAAGTAGAGCGAATGGAAGTAATGAACCTTGGCTCATTCACCGAGGCTTATACTCCTAGATACATTTTGGGATTCTCAATCAACAGGCTCTGTTAATCCGAATATCATTCAAAGCTTCATTTTTATTGCTTCTCTTCGAATTGCTGTCTAAATGTATTGTTTTTTTCTTGCATATGGATGGATGATGTTAATTATCAGGTGATGACTTGGCTAACTAGGCCGGCATGCCTGAAAGCAGCAACCAATGTTTTATGTGGTTTGGTAGAGATCTGAGCTGTTGACATGGTAAATGAATCAAGAGCCTGGTGAGTTTTGTTTCTACTTTCTACCAGAATAACTGAAACATGTAGGTCTTAGTAGAAACAGCAAAGACTGATAGAAAAACAAAATTTTCATGTTTCAAAGTGTTTCTAAAAATTTTTCCGTTTCCGTTTTCAAGGTAATTGATATGATGCATCGAAATACATTCTGAGATGATGGAGATATTGATTTTTTCTAATACAAAATGAGACAAAGGGATGGCTACTATGAGCTACTCTCACTATGGTTATAGAGTTGGCTACTAAGATGGTAAGGTTGAGTTCTTGCCGGCTGCTTGGTTGTTAAACCAAAGGTTATTTTCAAATAGCTCTCTCTCTCTCTCTCTCTCTCTCTCTCTCTCTCTCTCTCTCTCTCCCCAATATTAGGTTGTGATAATTGTAACTGATAAAAATTTGGATGTTTTGATTTTAGAAAATAAAATTGAGCTAGGTGTTGACTTGAATGTTCGCATAAGTCAAATATGAACAAAAATGCACATTTTTTTTTTAATTATACAAAAATGAACATTAAAAGTAGTTTAGTGATTAAGTTTGGCTTCTGATAACTCAGAAGTTTCAGGTTGAATACTTATCATACTCCTTCACCCATCCTTAGGAGAAATGTTATAACCTAACTTGGACTATGGTAATCAATATCTAAACTTGAAAGAGTAATCGACACAAATCTAGATACCTTATAATATATATATAATAAAGTAGTTTACAATTCAAATTTCAAAAATAAATAAAATGACTTTTGTTATTCGCGGTTGAGATCGTTTTAAATTTTATTTTAAAATTAATCTAATGACTAATATTAACACCCTAAATTTAATAGGAAAAATAGATCTTTAAGGGTGTGTTTAGAGTTACTTTTTAAAAGTACTTTTAAAAATTATTTTCATAAATACTTTTAAAAATAAAATGTTTAAAACCGCCCCACCACTACCTCTACCACCACCATTGCCACTATCTCTGTCGCTGCCGCTGCCACCACCACCACCGTCGTCTTCATCGTCGCCGCTACCACCACCGCCATTGTTGCCACCACCACCGCCATTGTCGCCACCACCACCACCTCTATCGCCACCACCACTGCCGTCGTTGTCGTCGCCACCACTGCTGTCGCTGTCGTCGCCACCACTGCTGTCGCCGTCGTCGCCACCACTGCTGTCGCTGTCGTCGTCACCATTGTCGTCTCTGTCGTCGCCACCACCACCGCCATTGCAGCCATCATCGTCGTATTCGCCGTCACTGTCACCACCACGGTCATTGCCACTCACCACAACCAATACCGTCTCCTACCACCACCACTGTCGTTCACCACATCTCACCCCACTATAAACCGATGTTTAAATTCTTTTATCTCTTCTCCATGTTTGTGATTTGATTTTGGATATAAATATAAATATGTTTATTATTTATTATTTTTTATTATTCTGTACCTTCAAGTACAAGAAATAACTAGTATATATATATATATATATATATATATATATATAGATATGAACAAAAAATATATATTTGACAATCAAACTTGACCAATACCAGGAGTTGAAAAAGTTTTTTTCGGTACCACATATCTATTTATATCATATTTGTTGTTACTTTTACTATATTTGTTGGTACTTTTAACATTGTTGTGGTACCAAAAAAATAGTAAAAATGGTTATCAGAATAGTGGTAAAAATATTCACAAATGTGGTAAAAACATCCACAAATATGATTTTTATCATCCATAAATGTGGTAATTTTTTTGTACTGAAGAAAAGTGATAAAAATAGTTACGACAAATGTAATAAAAATATTCATAACAGTGATAAAAATATTCATAAAAGTGATAAATTAGTTACAAATGTAGTAAATTTGTTGATTACAAAATGATTAATAGAAATTATAAAAATATCTTTTAAAATAGTAAATTTTAGAGGTACGAGGCCGAAATTTCTTTGGCGCTGCCGTATTGAAACAACCTGGATTAGATCATCTTCAAATCCAAAAAACAAAGTCTCGATTAAACTCCATTCCACTTCCAGTAGCTGCCGGGAAGAGAATGGATCTCATGTAAGGTTGTTTAGAAGGTTCCTACAGAAACCTACCAGTTGGTCCTGGGAATAGAACTCTTAGACAGTAATTTCCTCATAAGGGTCCTATAGAAATCTACCATATGGTCTCGGGAGTATGATATTCTTAATAAAACAAGAAAGGAAAATACTATATGAGCTTTGGTTTTTTTTTTTTTTGGCTTAAAATGGATATGCAGATAAGTTTTTTCATATATATGTCAGAGCTATCTGCTGAAGACCTTACCGCATCAAAGCCGAAACTAAAGTCCCACTGCGTATTCTAGACATTGAAGAGTAGATTTAGTCTTAATGAGCTACTATAACTATAGAGACTCGAACTCAAGTATTGAACGAGAAAATCTGAATTTTTATTCATTGGATCATACTCAGTCATTGGTTGAAATTTACTATCAATTCAATGACTATGATGCATTAAATTAATAAATAAAGTCAATAAATTAAGTAAATAACATTGCCCTAACCCATGTTGATTTTGGTGTTGTAGTCTGCATTATGTAACTTCTCAGGGACAAAACCAAATAGGGACTATGCCCCTCAAATTTTCAAAAATACCTTGTCTTTTTGGGTTTCAAAAAACTTTGCATCTCGTTTTAGGTTTTTAATTTTTTTTATATGTTTATGATATTTTATATATTATATTCAAATAAATTAAATAATCTTTTAATAATCACATGGATGAGGGCTCTTTTTCACTGATGAAGACATTTGCGAATCAATTTGATGACTAATACATTAACTCGTGATTAATTTGTCGAAAATATCCTGAAACTCATATGTAAGGTAGTAATTTATTTTTAATATATGACTAAAAATATGTTTTTAGATAGTATGATCCAAACTAATTTTCATATAGTATAGTATAAAAAATTGATTTTGATAAATTTTTTACAACTAAAAATTTGATAATAACATAACGAGGGGGCTCAGTAAATAAAATTTTTGACCGTATCATTGTTTTTGTTTGGCTCCCCTCAGGATAAAATCCTTATTCAGTCTTTGTGCTCATGAATGAGAGTTGTTGATTTTCTTGTTACCAAAAAACATAAATCATTTCACCCTCTAATAACATGACAGGAACATTGAACATTGTGTGGTAGGTAACAATTCATGTCTACTATGGGAAAATGATAAGTGAAACTTGTAGATAGATAAGAAGTTGGCTAAACTTGATATAAACCTGACATGACACAAATTCGGTTATAGATGTACGAATATAAATGAATCGGATATGAGTTAAATAAAATTTTATCATACATAATTTAGACT